GAAGCAGCGTTGTTTACTTTTTTCCTTTTTCTTGGTAGGAGCTTTGTTTACTTTTTTAAATGCTTAGCAATTCATGCCGAAAAAGACGGAATTCAAAATATGTTTATTCACATGTTCGAAGAACAAGATTTGTAGTCAAACTGACAAATGGAAAATGAAAAATAGAAGGGATGTCATTGGATAGATTAGAACATTCTTATAACTTCTTTTTTTTTTTTTAAATAGGTAATGAAATTCTTATAACTTCTTGATTGGTATAGATTTGTTTGCTTTTAAAATTCAAGGTAATATTGGATGATGTTATTATGACATCATTCATTATTAATATTATAAATTTTTATTTTAATTAATTATTTATGGGCTAAGTCAGGTCAGCACATTGGTCTTTTTCTATATGTCCTCAGTAGCCCTAGCAAAATTTTCTAGGGGAGGTGAATCAATTAATTAATGGGTCAAATTAAGCAGCAATCAAGAGGCCTTTTGGAAAGCTGAAACAGTTTGCTTTCACTGGCAACATAAAACTTGCAGTGTCAATTACTATCAGGGGCCAAAAAAATATATGATAATTAATTTTTTTTTTTCTAAATATAATATTTGTTGAATATTTTATTTAGATAAATTTTTTTTTATTTGTATATAAAGTCATCAAATTAGGCTCCATTTAGTATAATTTTGGTTTTTAGTTTTTATTTTTTTATATATTTAATAACTAGTACTATATTTAAATTAAATTTAATAAATTTGAATTTTTATGATAAATTGTGATTTCTAAATGTAATAGGTACTAAAAATGTAAAAAATAAAACTCAAAACCCAAAACTAAAACCATACTAAATAGAGTTTTAATTAACATAAAGTTGATGGAGTAAGACAATTAAAGGGATTAAAAGGAGTGAACCAACTAAAAATTGAAATTTGAAAGTTAGGATAAAATCCTTCAACAATTTGTTCAAGGTTAAGTTTGTTTAATTTACTCTTGTGGTTTCTTTCATGATTTCTCTTGGTATGATATTAGGCTACTACTTAAAATCATGCTTTAATGGCTGTGATTTTCAAGCTTTCTTCAGCGTCTATGCACTTTTGCATATTTTTTTAAGTAAAATTTTCAAGCAACTTAATCATGATTTGAAATTGGAAGGCAATGCATTTATCAAGAATGTAAACT